TAGACGGATAGATAGATAGATAGATAGATAGATAGATAGATAGATAGATAGATAGATAGATAGATAGATAGATAGATAGATAGATAGATAGATAGATAGATAGATAGATAGATAGATAGATAGATAGATAGATAGATAGATAGATAGATACCAAAAGGAATAAACATCATGACTAGAAAAACAACATGCGTACACAAAAGCCTGCATTGAAGACAAATGTTTGACGCGTGCAAAACCTGCATCGCCTTCTTTTACGGTTTCCTAATAACGGTGCTCATTATCTGCAGAGCATCATGTCCAGTGTGCTTATATGTGCATTTTATGAATAATATAATACCTAATGGCACATAATAATTATACCTAATACCTAATACATAATATAATACCTAATCGCACATAACGTGTCTTCTAATCAAAATATTTGATTACTGATGACTCGTAATAAAAATAAAATAGGCATATATGTGAGCTTTAACGTCCCGAAAACCCCATATGACTATGAAAGACGCCGTAGTGGTAGGCTCCGGAAATTCTGACCACCTGGGGTTCTTTAACGTGCTCCCAAATATGAGCACATGTACCTACACCATTTTCACCTTCATCGAAAATGCAGCGTCACAGCCGGGATTTGATCTCGCGTCCTGCGGATAAGCAGCTGAGTGCCTTAGCCACTAGACCACCGCAGCAGGGCGATTTAAAAGAAAATCAGCGTATCACTCAACAATTGCATCGAGTATTCTTGTGTTAAAGAACTTGTTGGGAAAATTTAACTGCTGTTCGGCTACTTCCCTGCATTGGGTATGAACCTTTGTGAGACGACGACAACAAGGCAGTATAGATCGCCTATGCTTAGGGCACATGCTATCGAACAACTTAAAACACTCGGCACCTGATTCAAGTTAAGTACAAACAAATGCAATGCAGAGGAAGTAAGCTTTTCTGAGATATTTATTAGAAGATATTCTTTTGGAAAGCATACTGAAGAATAAACATGGGATAAAAAAACACATGGCATAGTTCGAAATTAAGAGCACATTAGAGAAATTAAGAGCATTATTATGCGTTCTTCCTGTTCATGCTTTTCATGGTGCGATGTGGTGCTAGTCGATTGGTGAATAACAACGGTTTTATTTTTTATAGAATCCTATTTGCAGATGTTTCAACATTGCTTTGCTTTCCTTCTCTGACTTCAGGATGCACTCCTTCTGTGCAGCGTGTGCTCCGACATGCGAAATAGTATCATCGCAAAGCTTTGCTCTCCTTGCGAAGAGCAATGATTCACTCTGGGCCCGAGCACGCTCAAGAAGCAAACGGAAGCACCTTAGGACTCAAAATTTGCTGTGACAACTCTCACACTGTGCCGTGTTTCGTAATTGTTATTTTGTTGTACAGAGGTAACGTACTTGTTTTATGTATTGTAGTACGGAGTCCTGAACTGGTAAAGAAACTGCGAATTTTTCTTATTTTCTGGAAGCAGCTTCTGGTTTCTATTCTCTATAGAGACCGTTCATTCACATTGTACGAATTTTCTCGTAAAATAGCACCTAGAGGCATCAAGTAGTTGAGTCAGCCGCGCTATTACACTTCTACCTATGTATGTAGTTGTACGACTGAGTTTCACTTTTCTTAACGACCGAAATAATTTTCTTGAACGTTCAGTGGAAAAAGATTATACAGTCCCTGCTCGTATGCTCAAATGCACCCTCTGCCTTCCCCTCTTCCGCATGTATACCATCTAAGCAACAATCATTCATCTCTCGTTTTCGAAAACATGATGCATTGCTATTGCAGCATTAGTGCATGGTTCATGCATTTTTTAGTAGTTTATAAGGAAAGAAAGGTGCGGAAGGAGATGGCGGAGAAGAGGATGGGAGGACAGCGATAATCACATTGAGCACCCTGTCAGCAAACAAGAAAGCACAGAAGTATCGCTTCCGAAAGAAGTGTGAGTAAGAGGTTATTGAGCAAATGACCGCCGTCTTTGATGTTTTTGTTGACACTAAACTTGCGATGAATAACCTTCAGCAGCGTATACAAACGTTTTTAAGGATTTCAAGCCCTTTCATATGCCGCGTTCTGTCAGTATGTCCACCTCGGATTCTTCCGATGGTCGAGTGAAAATAAATGGATGAAGGGAGGCTCTGTGGAATAACGTGATATTAGAGTGCTTAGAGTGATCAAAGCTTCTTCGCGGAGCCGCACTTCTACGCGAGGCTATTAACGGGATGCTGCAGTCTCATCAAGTTTTATAAGTATTCTCTAGGTGCAGAGAGGGCTATTGCATGCAGCCGTAGACAATCAATGACGAGCAGTGAAGCTTTGGAGGAAATGACTAAGAGACTAGACTCCGAAATTTATTAGAAAATTAATTGTTTCCGAAACGGTGGACCAAGTGTGACCGACGACCACACCAGAAAGCTCAATCTACCTTGTTTCGTGTAGACACATGCAACACAGGCACGCTACAAAATTTTATTCTTTGGTGTTTTACGTCAAAAAACTAGAATACGATTAAGAAGACGTCGTAGTGAAGGGCTCTTCAAGTTTAGATCACCTGGTTTTCTTTATCATGCATATAAATCTAAGTGGACTGCTCTCAAGTGCATGAGTTTTGCGTGTGCTGACGCGGGTATAAGGATCCATCATCCATGCATGCTAGTTCACCGCACAATACGGTTGCATCCCTGCCGCTTCAGTTTTCTTATATATTTTTATTTCCTGTTCAGAACACGCAACTAAATTATTTGTAAGAGTATGTCCTGACCTCTCTGAAAACTTTATTCATTAATTTGCCACCATTTACTTGCCTTACGTTATGCCATACATATTTCTCCGCTTTTACTGACACCACCTGTTTTATAATAATTACACATTTATTTTGTTCATGTGTCTGTTGTTTAAGATTTCTCACTGACCAAAAGTATTTTTGGCGCGTAGATTTTCTAAAATCCGCCTGGGTTTAATTCGAGCGATAAACAAACTCACCTCTCCCACTATACACCTCTTCGTCTCCTTTTGAATGAAGTTGCCGAGTAATGTAGAAGTAGCGATTGTACATGCGTGATTTCTTTAAACTAAGGATGTACCCAGAAAAGCTTCCCGGCCTCTCCTTAGGTTGAAGTCGAAGAGGGATTGCCACAAAGTAGCTTTTGAAGTATGCCTGTTGTCAGCAAATGCACATTACAATGTTTATATTATTCTTAGCAGTCAACGCCAAAGAACGACTGATTCTATCGTCATTCTGTTACTCTGCCCATCGACGAAGCTCCTGTTCTTTTCTCGTCCAGAAGAACCGCTTTGGAGTTTTTCTTGGGTACGTTAAAGATTCGTTTTTAAGAGTTTCAGTTAAAGACGCCATGTTTGTCTTATATGCCCGATGTCAAAACAGGGGTGTCCATCGCATGTGTTAACGAAATCTTTAATGAATCAGCAAATTTACACGACACTTTCAATACTTCGTCAGTACTAAGAGCCTTCTGTTTAGTATGAGAAAAAAATGCGCTATATGCTGATATGAAGGCGTGAAAGACACCGAACAACTTTTTCTACATCGTAAAAATTAGAATGTTTCCTATAAGAAGATAAAGAGCGAGAGGTGTATTATGAGAGAAAAGCTGAAGGGTTGGCCGCTATCATTAGTAAAGCCTTTGGGCTCATAGCCGAACGAAACTTTTAAAAGTGTCACTGCACATGCATGGGTGCAGTTTTTAGAGAAATCAGTCAAAACGTTTCTGATGATAAGGTTTCTGGGTAAGTGGGTGGTGTCCACCGTCCAGGGCGCCCCTGGCATTTGCGGCTCGCGGCCTAATTTGTTTGATAAAAAATCAATGTTTGCATTCTTAATTATTTACAGATACATCTGGTCCCTTGTTTCTCATGCTTTCGTGCTCATCCACATTTTCTTTGTGACAGCTGTGTCTAAGGAGCGGGTGAATGCCCCGTAACTGTTGTGCGATAATCTTGACGAACTCTTTTGTAGAACATGAAAGTTAAAGGTGTGTGAACACTTATAACTCGGGAACATTGCCGTTGCATAGACAGATATATTAAACTGTAGTACTTGGACTATAGGCACATGAACACCAATCATGTGTAAACTTTGCGCTGTTTTACGGCTATTGACAATTTCAGGGTGCATACTAATATGTATATTAGAATAGGAGTTGCCGGAGCAACACTTAGGCACCAACCTCTCCTTAACACATTTAATAAGAGCAGAATGGGTATATCTGAGACGCCACTCAAGCGTTATAGGCAGTCGCTTACATTGATTATCTAGATTATGAACACAAAAGAGCGAAACGATATTGCTTTACGTGGAAGATGAGCCCAGCAACCATTTTTCTTTTTCCCCATCCGCCACTCTAGCACACATGTGGGTGCGCGCTGAATTGATGTTTGCGAAGCCCATCGATCGGCAATGCCGGCTCCAGCGCTACGCTATTCTGACGCAAAGACACAACGTTAACTCTTCGCATTCGAGTTGGATGGTGTATGTCTAATCTCGCGAATCTCGCAAAGTAAACTGCTAATTCGCCGAGTTGAGTGTCACCAGCTAATCCCCCGAGTTGAGCGCCACAAAACTATATGGCGGTGCTATTGGGGCCGTCTCGGCACAGAGCTGGCATCCATTGTCTGGCCACATAAGGTTACCTGGAGTGGTCATAAACATAATGAACCATCTGGCACTCCGACCACGGCAGAGGGAGGTTTTCAATATTGTCTCGTATTGGTGAAAGAAAAAAAAAAGCAATCGACTTGTTCAAAAAACGAGAGCAAAGAGCGCTGACCCCAACGTCCAAGTGTTTCTTCTCAATTCTGACAGCATTGCAAGAAGTTTCAAAACGCAACCGCAGCTCGCCCAATCTTCAACATCCTACGCAGTCTAGTTTTCTTGGCTGTGAATAGAGGTCCCTAACTTTCGTGGTGAGTAGGAAATTTCTACACACACTGGAACACAACAATTAGCAGCAAGACGTTGCACTAAAAACACAGCTTACCTCTCGACGCACACGCTGACCAGAGTCATCACGGACGCGTACAGGGCCATAACTTCGACGAAGCGCAGTGCTCTGCACATGCCCAAGCCCAGTTCCCAGCCGCGGTTGCGGATGAAGAGCACGATGTCCGGCACGCACGCCAGCAATATGGTGAGGTCACTCAGGGCCAGATTAAGAATGAACAAGTTGGTCACCGAGCTGCGCATGTCTCGGTCGCCCAGTACGGCGCACACCACAAACGCGTTGCCCAGCACGCCCGATACGCCGATGGCGGCGAACAGCGAGGCCAGTGTGGCGATCGTGACAGGGGAAGCTACTGGTTCCTCCGTCGTCACCGACACGCTCGGCAGGGTTCCGTTGGCGACGAAGACCGGAGAGGACACCTCCAGCAGCATATTCTCGGTCGGAGACATTGCGTCGTGCGTGCTCTTGACCACGCTGTAAGGGTGCGTAGCAGGACGTTAAAGACAAGCTCACGCTCCTCCGCTCGTTCGGGTTGAGGGACTTATTCAACGATGCATCCAAGATTGGCACGCGAGACACACTTGATACGTTTCAAAACAAGAGTGCCTACACAGGAGCTGTACGGTGGGTCTAAGGAGGTAAGTAGAGGCCAGCAAGACGTTGGGCATCACCCTTACTCTCGTGAAAGGGGCGCTGCAGTGTCACGGTGGGGGCCTGCGCAAGAAAAGATGGGAAAAATGCATGCGTGAAAAATTCCCTGAGAAAACCATCTTTCCAATTACTAAAGAGGACGAAGGCAGAGAACGTCTTGTAAATGTTGTTAAAGAGGAAGCTATGACACAATGATCCACGTTGACTACGGCGGTTCTGTCAGCATGGAAACGATAAGCAGACGTATACGTTTCGTCGTTATCACCTTATGCTTCTCTGTGAATCTGAAAGTATTTTCTGCAAATGTGCCAGTGATTGCTGTTCAAGTGCAATGATTCGCACTATTTCCACGTATGCTCGGAGGAACGAAAACTCGCTGTTTTTAGAAAATACAAGTGTTACTAATTGTAGAAAGAAAAAATGCCACAAATAGCCTTACAAGGAGACTGAATCAGCGCGGGTGCGAAAATGTAAAACATCAGTGCACAACGTGTTATATATCACAGCTAAACAAGCGTGAGCTTGCTTTTGAAATATTTTGTAGAAAACTGCCGGACAAGGGAATAAGTTATTGGCACTGAGACGAATCATTTGTTCTGTTTTTGTTCTGTATTACTGTATAAAATTGTTTTCAATTGTTTTTTTTCTTTTTTGTATTTTGATCCAATGAGATTTCGGCCCAATATAAAGAATGGTCTACGAAAAGTGCACAGTACATTTTTTCCAGTTTTATGTTGTTGTTTTTTTCGGCAGTTGTACTGTATGCAATGGTGGCCGGCTACGAATGCTTCATTACAAGCCATTATTCCGACAGCCGTCATGCGTATGTCATGCAAAGTTTTTTATCGAATAAAACAGTGATCTTTCAAAAAGCTGCCAGTGCTTGAAAATGAAGGTGATCAAAAATGCAAGGTATTTAGTGCTCCAGGGACGTTCATTCGAGAACCAAACTTGAATTAGTTAATATTCACCTGTGCAATTTTGGCTAGACATTGCCTATATTGCTTTAAGTTTTTTTTTTTCCTTTTGCACTGGGCTAAATTCTCGTTCTTGTTCACCTATTGCCCGTGGTGCATGCCCAATGTGGGGGATTGGCCATGAATTGAGTGATTTTATAAAATATTGTGCAGTTGTAGAATCATGAAGATTATATAATAAAGAGATTACCGATGACCTAGGAATTGTGGTGCCTTATGTAATGCCTATAATTGCTTAAATAGTTTCCTTTTCCTTGAGTTTGAGCAATACCCTGATTATTTACACTTATATAATGTTGTAGACACGTTAGGATAATAATGCGGATTAATTAGTCAACTGATTAGTTTCATTAATATAGTCTCGGACGTCCACGCATACTGTCGCAGTGGAGAACCGAGAAATCAAAACTCCAAAAGAGAAAATGACAGACACAGATAAATTCATACAATACCACGTAACAGTATTTTTAAATAGGATTTTCGTATTGTGTTAAACCACCTGCAGGTCAAAAGGGAATGATCTATTGTCTCCAGTTCACTAAGAACGCGCACAGTGGCGAAGGTGCCTGAGCAGACCTGTGTTTGTATAAATTTAGATTTCGTGCCCGGCAGCGCAGTCTTGTGACAGCTACTTCTTGTTTACGAGTTTGGCGAAAGGCTCTTCGCCAAGGATATATTAAATGGTGATATTCGGTAGAGTTTGTCAGTGCTGTACCTCTCAAGACTTCCTTAGGTGCACGTCTGCGGAATCGAGCAGATCTCACATAAGCGGATGATGGAAAGTACGGTAGAATCGGCCCGCTCATTGACGACTTAGCTAAGGAATTGGCCATTTCACTTAGAAGTAAGCCTTTATGTCCACGCACCCAAACTAATTGGACTTTTCTCACATTCGCAGGCACTATATTGAGAGGAACCCATTTGTTACTTGATATTCAGCACCAACAGAAAGTTCCACACTGAAAGAAAGAGAATCTGTTATTATAGCAGCTGATGTAGTTTCCGTATCCAACTTGTGTAAAGCGAGCACTACTGCCAGAAATTCAGCCACATAAAAAAGAGTATGAAATCGTGTAGTCGAAGGGAATAAGACCAATCTAAAATCGGGCTCAAAATACGAACCCCGGACATTTAGTCACATTGCGATACGTCTGTAACAATAACAACGTTTGTTGTAACACTGCGCAGTTGATCTAAATTCTGACATCTTCTTTTTATCTTCATCACAAAGCTTCTGTCTCATCAAAAATAAAACACTCCACGTCATTTTTCCAATGTTGCTCACACAACAGCTATGCTGTCTAATGCAGTGCTGATAAATTAAAAAGAACACAGAAGATTTAATACACTTACGATACTTCGAGAAAATACATAACTGCTAACTATTCTACATCTGTCAAACAAATTATAGGAGTTAAATATCATCTTTCAACGACGCTTGGTGTCTTAGCAATTCAAACTCTATACATGATTAACTAGGATGAAGACTTGACCTTTTTTGTATGAAGCAGTGTTTCGTTTTATTCATAGCTTTTAAACATGTTGGAGATTGCAAGAATGTAAAAATACCTTGTAGAATACTAGCTTCGACGAGATTTAGTCCTACATAAGCAAAAATATAGGTTTTGTTTTGAAGTTGCTCAACAGATTTGGAAAGAAATTACAAATATATCCAGCAATTTGTAGCAAGTCCGATCATACAGCATAAATCAAAATGTTTTGCTCTTACCTTTACGACGGAAGGCTGTCCAGAAGAAACGACGTCCACGCACAACCTTCCGAATTTTTTTTTTCCTTCTGCCCCCTCTTTTTCCACCAGAAACCGGACACAATTTTTAACAACTGCTTTGCAATTTGGACCTTCGTAGAAAATAGGTGGGTTTTTTTTTACCCACAATGAAGTGCAAAAATAATCAACGATCAAGCGAAGGAAGAAGGAAACAACTTCTCTCCTTTGGCGTTACTGCCAGACCCGACGCCCTCGTAGCCCAGCCGAAGCGGACCATCCGAAAGAGCGCCGGTACCAACACTGCGGTGGGCGCAGCTCTGTGTCGCGCCGCGCGAGACTCGGCGTTCGCGCTCTGCGCTGCTCGGTTTCACCCTCTGGAGTCGCTGCGCTCGCCTGGGAGAGGAGGCGACCGCACTTCGTTCCCCCAGCTCGTACCATCTCTTTCCTCTCGTCCCGCTTTTTTCCCGAGCGTGCCCAATCCTTCTCCTCCTTTTCCCGCCTCTTCCTTTCTCTCTCAAGCGACGCTCGTAACTTTCGTGACCGCAAGGCAGTGGCTGATGGCCACGAGATGATGCGCGCGGTATTCCCTTTCTTCGATTACTTTATCCATGGGATCGGTAACCACACCCCGGTGTCCTCTAACCTGTTGTCCTCTAACCGGTGTCCTCTAACATGTATGTATGTATTGTCGCGGGTTATAAATGACAGGGGGTTTATTTAAAAACACGGACAGTAGGACTTGTAGAGACGCTCTCAGAGAAGGCCGCTAAGATTGTCCTCTTCTTCACTCTGCTGCGCTGCGCCTCTCGAGCGAATCCGCGTTCTTCGTTGTCGTCGCTATCTCGCCGCTAAATGCAGCTATGCACGCGGCATTACCCTCCCGCCAGAGTGAGCGTCGTCCCGACGCTCAACAGGTAGAGATGCGGCCATCGAGTGTTTATATCACTGAGAGTGGTAAAGTTTCATGCGGACCACGTGCACTCTCTCAGGCAGATGCTGGCGACGTTTTGAACAGGAGGAGGCGTCGGGCACGGCTTCGTACGTCACGTCGCTAAGACGACGCAGAACCTTGTAAGGTCCGAAGTATCGGCCTAGAAGTTTCTCTGAGAGGCCTCGTCGTCGTACAGGAAACCAAACCCAGACTCTATCTCCTGGTTGATAAATGACGAATCGATGGCGAAGGTTGTACCGTTGGGCGTCAAGTTGCTGCTGGTTCATTATTCTGACGCGGGCAAGCTGCCTTGCTTCTTCGGCGCACTCAGTGAAGTCTGCGGCGTCTGTCTCTGAATCATTGCAATCGTAAGGCAGCATGGCGTCAAGCATTGTCGTAACTTCTCTGCCATGAATTAGTGCGAACGGCGTCATTTTTGTTGTTTCCTGGCGCGCCGTATTATACGCGAATGTGATGTACGGCAATATTCGGTCCCAATTCTTGTGTTCTACGTCGACGTACATGCAAAGCATGTCAGCGATTGTCTTGTTAAGTCTTTCTGTAAGCCCATTAGTTTGTGGGTGGTAAGCTGTCGTCTTCCTATGCGCTGTGCCACTGAGCGTAAGCACAGTGCGCAAAAGCTCGGCTGTAAACGCGGTACCTTTGTCTGTTATGACGACAGCTGGAGCACCATGTCTCAGAACAATGTTCTCAATGAAGAACTGAGCCGCTTCAGCTGCAGTGCCACTCGCGATTGCCTTGGTCTCCGCGTATCGGGTGAGGTAGTCCGTCGCCACTATAACCCATTTGTTGCCGCTGTCCGATGTTGGGAATGGGCCCAGCAGATCTATTCCGATTTGAGAAAACGGGGTTTCTGGCACGGGCACAGGATGTAATAGCCCAGCGGGTTTGACAGGTGGTACCTTGCGCCGCTGACAGTCAATGCATGTTCGGACGTACTGTTTAACCTCTGCTGCGATTCTTGGCCAGTAATATTTTTCTTTGATGCGTGTCAGTGTTCTTGTGAAACCGAGGTGGCCCGCAGTGGCTTCGTCATGGCAGGCTTGTAAAATTTCGCTGCGGAGAGCTCCAGGAACTACCAGCAGATAGCTTCTGCCTGTTGATGAAAAGTTCTTTTTGTGCAGAATTCCGTCCCGTAAA